CCCAACCCGGAGCCTCCGCCCCTCGTCCCTGTCAGCTCCCGGGTCAAGGGCGGCGATCACGCTGCCGCTGGTCCCTCAACTTTCATCCCTCTCGGGGAAGCGCTTTGTCTCTTTAAAGGAGACGGGGACCACGAATAGAAATGGCTCAGGTAGGTTCTACCGGAGAAATCTACCAAATCCTCTGGATTCTGTGCCAGGGATGGAGGCGGAGGTCCGGGCGCTGACGGAGCCCCCAGGACACCAGCCGGCGCTCACAGCGCACGGTCCCCCACCTACCCAGATGCGCCCCCCACCCCCCGCCTCCAAGTCTGCGGAGAAAAACGAGGGAGGGGGCACCGGGGGCCAACCCACAGCCGAGCCTTTCCCGCCCCAGCCCTCTGCCACAGCCCGCTGCAAAAGCCGGGCGGCAAAGCAGTCACCTTGATCCCCGCGCCAGGGTCCCCAGAGGTTAGGGAAAGGCCAGAGGCCGGAGGCTCCCGGGCAGCACTAGCCTGGCCCCAGACCCACCCCTGGGACTCGGTTCCCTCCCGCGGGCACCCTGGCAACTTAGCACCTAGTGGCAGAGAAGCAGGGCGGGGCAGGTGGCGGCGCCCGCGCCGTGCGCCCTACCTGGGATGGCTAAATTGGTGAGGGGGATGCTGTGGATGCTCTCCGGGAGAGCTGCCATCCAGTCCGCCAATTTGAGCTCGTTCGTCCCCTGAGACGAGGCCATCGTGCAGGTGGCGTGCGCGCTGCGCTGCGGGTCCCGCACTGCTCGCTGGCAGGCTGGCAGGCTGCTGCCGCTAATCCAGTGTGTGCTCCAGCCCCGCTAGAGTTTACACTCCGCTCTGCGCCACACCCACAGGATGGCGCAGACACACGCGGGTTTCAGTAATTATTCCAAACACCCCATGCTCCCCAGTGCCTCCGCCAGACGCTGCCCAAGCTGAGGCTCCTGACGTCCGCGCTCAGCTTTCTCCTCTCTCCCCTCCCTCCCAGACTCCCTCCTCCCGCCTTGGCCCTCCTCTGCGTCTCTGCCTTTTCTCGCCATCCTGCAGCTCTTTTTGGCTTTTTTCCTCCTCTTTTCTTTTTAAATCGTGGTTCATGGTCTTGTTCGGCCCTTTGATGTGACTACCTGATCCTATTTCTATACAAAACAGTCTTGTGGTCGAGCCTAAAATCTTGGTAGACTTTGGGATGCTATCTTCTCCCCACGAGGTGACTCACACACTGGCTTTCAGGACTTTGCATTCTTACCAAAGAGCTTTCCTTTCTGTAAGCTACAACAGGTGATGTTTCTCCCAGCCTGATGGAGCCTGCAGGTCTGCTTATAACAAAATGGTGGTCTGCAGTCACCACTTCGCCTAATTTTTTGAATGGTTGACGAGAGTGTGCTGTGGGCACAGGGCAGTAAGTTCTAGGTGGTTCCTACTTAATGCCTGGCATCCTGTTTCTGACATTTCAAGATAAAGAAGCCCTTCGACCCCTTCATTGCTCATAGATCACTAGACCACCTTGTGATTTCTATGGAGGAAGCTACCTGTGTCCTCTGTCATTGTCAAGCCACTCAGGATAAGCCCAGAGCCTGATGCCAGAAGAAAATGACCACATTTCCCAGGGACATGCTGTCATTATTGATAGGAGCATTTGGTGAAATGTATTTGGCACCATTCAAAATGATCTGTGTGACTGTCGAAATTTTCATTCCCTGGCAGACTAGAGAGCTGTGCCTCTCTCAAGAGAAATCACTCATTGTTCCTCCAAAGAACTGTCTTGGTCCACCTGCTCTCAGACAAGACAAGGAGAGAAATCAAGTCTTACCAATGTGATGGGGACATGAAAACCAAGGTGAGAAAGAGAGCTGCTGTAAAGCATGGGGATGACTATTTCACTTCAGTAAACCATTAACATTAACAACAACAACAACTAAAGCTTGCTTATAATACAAGGATGTAGAACCCAAAGAATATTTCCCAGCGGGAGCACTTTGAAAACATGGAGAAAGGAGAGATAATGCCTTGTGTGTGATCAAATTTTCCATTGTCCCATAGAATCAATGTATAGCTTCAAGAGGTCATGGTAACCCTAGCTGCTTTTGCTCAGTGGATAGAGCGTCAGCCTGTGGACTGAAGGGTCCCAGGTTCGATTCCAGTCAAGGGCACATGCCTGGGTTGTGGGCTTGATCCCCAGTAGGAGACGTGCAGGGTGCAGGAGGCAGCCGATCAATTATTCTTTCTCATTGTTGATGTTTCTATCTCTCTTTTCTCTCTGAAATCAATAAAAATGTATTTTTTTTAAAAAGAGGTCATAATAGGGTTATCTTTAAGAATGAAAAGGGGACGTACTGGGATTTTTCCAAGGTCAACCTTAATATTCTTACTAGCAGCCACATACCTTTTGATGAGAGTGAGAATTTGGCTCACTGTGGGATTATTGGTCAAGAGACCTACAAACACCACCCTTCTGGCTAATGCTGGTGCTCTATGGGCATCACAGAAGGCAATGAGGAGAGCTCAGCCCTGGGAACCCAATGCTTTGGCTCTGAGGAGTTTGGGCAGGTCCTCGAGTTTCTGTCAGCCCTAGTTGTCTCCATTAGAAAACGATAATAGTAACTCAAAGATTCACAGTGAAGCTTCCTGGAAAGAATGTAAGAGCTTGTTGTCAGCAAATCGTCACACACAATATGAGACTTACGTTTATTGAGACAATGACATATGCATATTCTTCCTCTCGTTGCCTTTTCTATCCTTATAAAATATTCGTTTTCAAGAGGATGAAATAATTATTGAATCTAGGAAATATTTTTAACAAGAGACTTTTTAAAGTCATGCCTTGTTTGAGTGTTGAACTTAGGAATTTCTAAAAGGTTACAAAGCATTTTCTTAAAAAAATGAAGCCACCTTAACTGATGGGGAAAGTTGCCTCTATAAAGAATTGTACACTGTAACTTTTGGTAAAGCAAACAAGTAATCCCTCCCCTGTTTTATCTTCTTTGAGTGTTAGAATTTTTAATGTATTGGATTTTGCATAAAACCTTACATTTCTCTGCATGCAACTCACTAGAAAAGAGAGGGCTGGAAATCGATAGTTCTGAATTTCTTTCTTGGCTTATAATCAATTTTTTAAGTATATTTTTATTGATTTCAGAGAGGAAGGAAGAGGGAGATAGAAACATCAATGATGAGAGAGAATCATTGATCGGCTGCCTCCTGCACACTCCACACTGGGTATTGAGCCTGCAACCCAGGCATGTGCCTTGACTGGGAATCGAACCATGACATCCTGGTTCATAGGTCAACACTTAACCACAAGCAACACCAGCCAGGCTTATAATCAACCTTTAAGATAATTTTATGACCTAAATACCCAATCTTTCTATTATCAGCTCTGCCACTACTTACTAAGTGATATTAGGAAAAGCATATAATTTCTCTTGGCTTTAGTTTACCCACTGTATTAATCAGGGTTTTTCAGAGAAACAGAATCAGTTTTATGAGAGAGCAATCCTATATAATGAAAGTCTAATATGCAAATCGACCGAAAGGCACTGACCACCATGGGGCAGAAGCTCAATGCAGGAGCTGCCTCCAGCCCGCAGGCCCCAGGCCAGCCAAAGTGGGTGCCAGCAGGGACCCCCCCTCCACAATCGCCCTACCAGTTGCCTCCTACAGAGGGAGGTGACCAGCGGGGTGGGGCGATGGGGCGATCAGGGGTTGGGGCCGGCCACCCCCCCATCATCCCAGTCGCCCCCTGTTCTCCCTGCTGGTCACCCCACAGATCAGCCCTGATCGCCAGCCAGGCCTAGGGACCCTATCTGTGCACACCGGGCCTCTAGTATATATATGTGATCAAGGAGAGATTTTATGGAATTGATTTGTGAGAACTGGAAACTCTGAATGGCAGGCCAGCAGACTGGTAACTTAGGTAGGATTTCTATGTTTCAGTCTTGAAGCAGAATTCTTCTTCAGAAAACCTCTGTCTTTGCTCTAAGGCATTCAACTGCTTGGATGAGGCCCACCCACATTAAAGAGTGTAATCTGCTTTACTCAGAGTCAAATGATTGTGTATGCTAATCATATCCACAGATACCTTCACAACAACATCACAGCCTAGCCAAGTTGACACACATAATTAACCATCACACCCACTGACAAGCTAAACTAGAATTTGTTATTGATCTCTAGAGCTCCTTTTGACTCTATTATTCTATAATCTTGTTTTCTTTGTGATGACTTCTCACACATATAGCTGCTGGAAATAGCAAAAAACAAAAAACCTTAGTTTTTTTATTCTATCCAACCAACTCAAGGTATAGATCAACCATTTTATCACTACAAAATACTAATGAGTTTTCATTGTGGTGCAATAGGAGCCAACCATTTTTAAAAAGACTCTGATAAGCATAAATGGAAAGAGAAAAATGACATATCACAGTGGTTTCATGCTGTTATTAAAGTTTATGTAATCGTCAGCTGTCCATCAACATCACACTATGCACAGTTTATAAACATTGCTACTCATTTGGAATATTTTATTACTTTATATCTTCTTCCACTCAAAAAAACTACATGGTTCTTTGGTATGTATTATCTTTCATTAGTTCATAATATTTCTTAATTGTTGGAGCTACTAGTATATATGTGTGTTTTTTCCAAATTAAATTGATGCTGAGTTATATTCTGAAAAACAAGGTTCCTTACAGGTCAGCTGAATAATATTTTACAAGAGGAACTTTGTTTAAAACAATTCAGCCAAATCAATAAAAAAATATAATGTTCAGAAATATACTTTCACAAATTTAAAATATGTAAAGAGGGACAATAAAGAACCTTTGTAAAATTAAAAATTAATAATCAATGCATTTTACCATTCTCTACCACCTCTACCTGGATATCTCATTCAAAGAAATGTACTATATTTAACTACAAGAAATGGATTTTGTACTTAAATTCAAAATTTAAGCCCTAACTGGTTTGACTCAGTGGATAGAGCATCAGCCTGCAGACTGCAGGGTCCTGGATAGAATTCAGGTCAAGGGCACATGTCTGGATCATGGGTTTGATCCCCAGTGGGGGGCGTGCAGGAGGCACCCCAGCAATGATTCTCTCTCATCATTGATGTTGCTATCTTTTTCTCCCTCTTCCTCTCTGAAATCAATAAAAATACATTAAAGATTTTTTAAAGTGATAATCCCCACTTCCACCACCATATTAACCCTTTAGGGTTTTCAGTCCTTCTCCTCTTCTCTTCCCCTACATATACTCCTTATATGCCAGCCCCAAATAAGCTAATGAACACTCTGAATACAATCTAGGGGTTGCAATCACAAGTTATGGGATCTGAAGACTGGGATTCAAATCCAGGTTTTCCCAATTAATTTGTGTGTTTTTGTTCCCTTCACTGGAGTGTGGAGAATAATTATTTCTTCCTGGGCATGGGAAAATGGAAGGCACTATGAAGCTTAAATGAATTGAAGAATTTGAAGTTTATTGAACAGAATGGAAGCACAAGAAGCTACAATTCATCATTATGCTTCTTGCTCCCACCAAGCCTTTTCTTATGCTGTTAACTCCACACGGACTGCAGTTTGATGCTTTCATATATCAAAATTCTTTCTATTCTAACTCATCTTTGCAATTTTCCTTACTATCCAGAAGTACACCCATTGCACACCCATTGCAGTTTTTTTATAGCTACCTTGTAATATGTTTCTAATTTCCTAGCTGATCTTAA